CTCCCTCTCAATTCCTGGTGTAGCCACCCTGATTCAGGCTGCCTGCACTATTGAAATTACCTGTGGGTCTCCTTCCACTTCTGTCATTGTGCTACACCCCAGTCCACCCTCGTTAGTTCATTGGCATCAGGGTACAAGATTCATCTTCCCAAAAACCCCACTTTGTGCACTTTCTTCTCTCCTAAGCTTCACAAGTCATAAATGGCCTTTGCTGCTTACCATCCAGGTGTGTGGGAAACCCCTTTAACTTCACTTTAAGCTTTGAGATCATCAAGAGGATCTCACTGAAGCTGCTAAACAGGGATGTTCTTTTCCCTGGCTAGGTGCGGGGAGTGGGGCAGGGGCTGTGCTTACAGTGTGATTGACTGAAGAGTTGCCAGCCCTCTTCCTTACTGGCACTAACGAGAAGTATGGGAGCGACACCGAGCTTGGAGGCCTATTAAGGAAATCGTGGAGGTCTACTGCAATAGAAGATTTGGGTCTCCTTGTTGAAGGCCTGCAGGATGAGCACAAACTCAGTCACCGTTTTTCATGCCCCTTGACAGCCTGCCACCTGTCATCTTCTCCAAGCTTGTTTTCTATTAATTATTTATAGGAGACTCCTGCTATAGCCAGTGTTCTTTTTGTTTTCTGAAAACAAACATTCCCACTCCCACACCATTGATTGTGATGCCCAGGTTGCCCCTTCTGTGTTAAACCATGTACTCTTCAGTATTCCCCCCAAACACTTCTTTGTGATCACCACTCCCATAAATATGCACCATCTGACCGGCTCCTGAAACGTAACACCCATTGCTCTCTGATATCATTTTTGTTTATTCAGTAAAAAATAATTGAAGGCCTGTTATGCATCAAGCAGTATGCTGGGGATTCGAGTGAAAACAGCAATTTCCTTGTCCTTGGGAATTTACATTTTAATGAGAGAAACAAATTGATTACCAAGTGCAGTCAAGTGAGATCTGATAGGATTCAGAAGAGACAAGTAAGCTAATTTAGGTTAAGGAGGGTGGTCAGAGGTTTTCTGTAGGAAAGCAATTTTCAGAACTAAAATCTTTCAACATTTTATGGCAGTATGTTTTGATCCTTGTCATTTTAATATTTGAAGCTCTTTTTTTTCTTGTTCGTAAATGTTAACTTTTGTAAACATTTATATATCTCATGGATGTGGTGACCAACTGGTTACTATCTTCTTAATAATAGTTTCCCAGATGTTGGATTAAGAAGCACCTCTTGGCTCTCCTTTTAGACAAAAGAAACCTAATTTCCTCACAGGTACCACAGCCCTATTACTGATTATTTGAAGTTTGTACACTGTTGAGTCCAAAAGAGTTCTCAGATAGGCTGATCCCAAAAAAAACCCCAAATTACTACGATTTGATCACAACCAGATTCTGATTCATTGGGGAGGGGTGGGGCCTGAGGTTTTGTCTTTCTAAGCTCCCTGGTGATGTAGACACTGCTCATAGGTTACGTTCCGAGTGACAGGGTTTTATAGGATATAAAGAGACAAAAACAAGTGAAGGTATATGGTTTCTTCTATTTATATGAATGAATCCTACAGTCTGTACATCCTGTAACTCTCATGTACTCTTGCTAATCTAAATAAACTGATTACCCGCCGGGGTGGGCTCATCTCCCTGCATGTAGAGATAGTGAATCTTGCCAGTGATCTGACCAGAAAGCTTTAGCTCTTCACCCCCACCCCTCCCTGGGGAGTGACTCTCCTCCATGTCATAGGGCGCTCTGATAAGGTGTGCACCCACCTATTTGAGGCTGTGATCTGATCCCCTGAGGCCTTCCTGCCACTGAGTAATAGGAAACCCCATCTTTGGCAGAGGGAAGCGTTCCTTTTGGCATTCTGCCTCAACCCGATTGGTTTGTTTAGCAGTTGGGCTCCAGGAATGGCATCTGAGGCAAGTCTGCATCCTACAGGAACTGGCAGAAAATTCATCTTTAGCTTTTAAGATTCCCGTTAGAAGTTCTCATGACTTGTGGGAGCCTTGGCCTTCGAGTGACCTGCCCATGACCTGCTAAAGGGGCCTGCCAGAGTGAAATTTAGCTGTCTCTATTCTGCCTGAACATGTCCCCTGATTTGCTGTGGATTTTTTACTGACTTCTGTTCGGCAGATATTCTTGTAGACTGCAGACAGGAAAGCAGCTGCTACAGGCAGTGTGTTCCTGCATCTTTACAACCAAAGCTAGAAAGTATTTCTGTCGTCTTCCTGGGGAACTTTGCTATGGAATTCCCCCGACAGATTGGATTGCAACAATGAGAATTAGATTCAAGAGATCTGTCTCAATAGAAAGTGGGAAATGATGATGTCAGGCTGGTGAGGAGGAGTTGAAAATGGCTGGTAGAGTGGTTTTCAGACTTGAGCATGTATCCCCTAAGGGCCCTGCACCCCTAGAGTTTCTGGTTCAGCAGGTCTGGAGCAGAGCCCGAGCATTTGTAACATCCACTTTCCTTCCTATGGCTTATGATGTGGTTACATAAAAGGCAATTAGTTCTAACCAGGGAGGCAGGCACATGTTCACAATGGCACATGCGTTGTTGATTGTCATGGCCATCATTAGCTCCCAATCCTCATCGATTTGTTAGCTAAAAAAAAATAAAACAAAACACCGAGACCCAAGGAAACAGCATCCCTCCTAATGTTCCTGCGCAGTCAATGTCCTTTTGTGGTAACCCAGCCCACATCCTGTGAGGCTTCTTGGTTTATAGGAGTAGGCGCGTGATCTTTTAGAGTAAGGATGTATTGAAGCATAGCATGGAGGCAGCTGGAAAACTTGCTTCTCACCCACCTTCGTTTCACAAAAATACATGTTTCTTAAGATGATTATTTTAAGCCCAAAATAAATTTGGATTTCTGATTTGGGGAAAGGGAAAGGGAAGTCTGATCTGGCTATTTCTATCCCTCTAAATCCCTTAGATGTGCCTGGCTTACATCATATAAATAGCATGGTTGATTTTGTTTGTTTTTGGTAGTATTCCTTTTTTTTGTTTGTTTTTAGCTGAGCCTTGACAGCTCAGCGGCAGCTCAGCTCAGGCCGGGTATCGAACCGCTGTTGCTCAGAGCTCGCACTCTTGAGGGAGCTCTTAACCAGCTGAACCACTCGGCTGGCCCAGTATTACTTGTTTTTAAAGGTGACTAATGCTATACTTTCTTCCGAAGCCGCTCTGGAGTATCCCAGGAGGGACACAATGATCTGGATCTCGGTCTTGGTGACCTTCCCTCGGATGAGGAGGGAAGCATCAACAGTTCCGACGAAGACGATGTCAGCTCTGCTTCTAGTAAAGGGGACCCTGACCTGCTGGGAGATAAACAGGTAGATGTTCGTATTTAATTGTTTCTACTTTTGTGTTTATTGGCCTCTTGTGACACTCAGAAACATTTATCAGTATGATCGGCACAAAATCACCTGTTAGTTGTCTTAAAACTTATAAAACATTTTTCTAATTTAAATTTAATGTCTGCTGTAATGTGGTGCCTAAGATGTTCTATTTCCAAGCACACATCACTTAGAGATTATTTAGTAATTTTTGAGGAATTAGTTTTGGTAATGGCCATTGGTTTTCTTTTTGATAACAAAACCCCCTCAGGATCGTTCCTTGTACTGCTAATGATTCTACTTGAAAGAAAGGAATTAGATTTGTTTCTGAGTCAGTCAGATCTTTTTAGGGATCGGATAAATATTGCTGGTCATAACACATCAGGATTTCCTTTGAAATAATCCCGTATGTATGTATTTTCAGTATACATGAAATAAGATTGGCCATGCATTAATAGTTATTTGAGATGTGCCACAGGTACAAGGGGGTCATTATATTGTTTCTCTAGATTGACATGACTATCTATTTCATTTTAAATCATATTTGTTTGAGTAAAGACAATTACAGTGAAAAAGTAGTATATCAGCAGTATTCCCAAAAAATGTTGGAATGTTACAGTAAGATGGAATTTGAAAGGACCCACGTATACACAAGAGTATCAAGCCATGGAGAAAATTGATGTCACCTAACTCCTATGCCATAACTTACCAATTTATTATGCTTCCTGCTTAATATATTTTCACTTTGTTTAAATTCATTTTCAGCCTTAAATTAATGGAACATGTGGTGTCATTGTGTGGATTTAAATCCCAGTTCTACTACCTATGACTTGGGCGTTCTTGGGCCAATTACTTAACCTCTTTAGGCTAAAGAGCCCCATTTTATGAAAAAGAGAATAGTATTTATCGCATACAATTCTGAGGACTCAATGATTTGATATGTGTACAGACTTAGAACACTGTCCAGTATGTGGTAAGAACTCAGCAATTATTTATTTATTTCTGGCAAGACTTAATTTCTTCATTGAGTTACGGAGTTGGGAGTAACCACTAGAAATTACTTAGCCTTAAGGCAGGTGAGTTTGCAAGACACCTGAGACAAATGAATGACTGTTCTGAAACCTCACAGCGTCCCTCTGCAGTGTGGGATTTCCTCTATCAAGTCACTCCTTCTGTGTTGTATTGGTATCTGTCTTGCTCTAGTTTAAAAGCTCACTTTCCTTGTTGTTTCTTCACATATGTAGATTCTACAAGTGCTCACAGGGTACCCATTAAGTCCCAGGTACTGTCAGAATGTACTAGACATAAAGCAGAGCTCACGGACCCTGCTGTTGAAGAGCTTCCGTATTAATGGGGCAAGAGGGGCCACAAATGCAGAAACAGGAAGAACGTCAGAGTATTTCATCCTAGGAGGGGTGTAAAACATGAATGATGTGCTAGAAACTGAGAAGGCTGCTTAGGATAAAAGCCTTCAAGAAAGTGGTATTTAACTGAGGTGTAAGTGACTGGCAGGAGCCAAAGCCTGCAGAGCTTGGGGAAGAGCCTTCAAAGACAGGTCTTCCCGTCTAAGGTCTGTAATTAAAACAGCCTTTACTCTAATAAATTACAAGTCCTTTCTTTTCCTACCAAATACTGTTTTCTCTCGTTTTGTTTATTTGTTTCTCTAACCTTTCCAATTTCTCCCCATACTTCTTAAACTATGGTGACCAAAATTGGTTTGCACGTTCTACTAGGATTTCACCGACGACACATGGTATAAAGGAAGGATTACTCTCTGAACTTTCTGTGTTATGTATCTTCCCAGCACATCCTGTCACAGCCCTGCCTGGTTGACTCATCTGTTTTCTGGTCATTGGAGACTTCCAGGGTTCCTTCCTTTGTATTCGTGCCTGCCTATCCCTTCCCTTTCAGTATTTATATTATTGGGGTTTTTGTCTTTAGTTGCGCCATGTTGTAATATCTCTGTTAAATTTTTTTCTGTTTTTAAAAATGACATTATTTCTTCAGTTACTCGTGGACATTTAATATTTTTGCACCTGAATCCAGTGTATTAATAATTTCCCTTCTGTAGAATCATTAGCCACTCTGATGAGCTTCATCTGAGACAGCAATGGCAATAATAAAATAAACTAACTCCCCCTTGCTAGACAGTTATTGATCCATCTAAGCACAGCCTGGTGAATGCTTTTAAGTAATTTGCTTTCATAGTGATTAAGAACACAGTCTTTGGAGCCAGATTGCCTGGGTTCTCACCACTTACCAGCTTTATGATCTTAGGCAGTTTACTAAACTTCTTTGTGTCTTAATTTTCCCATCTGTAAAAAGAGGAAGGACAGGGTGGACACTTGTCCTTATTTTCTGAGATTGTCTTGATGATTAAATGATTAAACACTGTTTGAAACACTGTCTGACACAAGGTGACTGCTCAATAGATTTTAGCTATTATTAACCTACATGAAATGAAGCAAGCAAAAAAAGTGTCTGAAATCAAGCTTTACATATTTATTTGGCATATTTACCAAATAAATATATATTGTTTCAGGTTTGCCTTTTCTTATCTTTGATGAATAAATCTGAACCATGTGTATATGAAAAGCAGTATTGTGTTCTAAATAGAACAACATGAAATTTGGCATCCTAAGGCCCATGGTTCAGTCCTAGCTATGCCACTTGCCAGCTGTATGACCTTGGTTAAATTATTTTTAAAGGTCAGTTAGTTTATTTACACCAATCTCATTTCACAATGGATTTTGGCTGACAGCAAAAAAAATTATGTAGTAATACAAAAAGTCAAAATATATAGTTAAAGAAATCAAGATGTTAATAAATACTACTGCAATTACTGGATATCTGCATGCAAAAGAATGACGTTAGACCTCTTCCTTTCACCATACACAAAAACTAACTTCAAATGGATCACAGACTTAAATGTAAGAGCTGAAGCTATAAAACTCTTAGAATAAAATATAGTAATAACTCTTTATGACCTTGGGTTAGGCAAAGGCTTCTTAGCTACAACAGAAGTATAAGTGGTAAGAGGAAAAATAGATAAATTGGACTTCATCAAAGTTAAAAGCTTTGGTGCTACACATAGTACCATCAAGAAAATGAAAAGACAGCCTACAGAATAGGAGAAAATATTAGCAAATATCGGTAAAGGATTTGTATACTGAATATATAAAGAACTCATACAACTCAACAATAAAAAAATAAATGACCCAATTTTGAAATGGGCTAAGGACCTGAATGAGACATTTCTCTAAAGAAGATAATATAAATGGCTATAATAAGATGCTCAATATCCTTAGGTATTGGGGAAATGCAAAGCAAAACTTCAGTGAGCTACTACTTCACACCTACTAGGATGATTATAAAATCAAAAAGACAGACAATTATAGATGTTGGTGAGGATGTTGAAAAATTGGAACTCTTGTATACTGCTGGTAAGAATGTAAAATGGAAATTTTACATTCCATTTTCCACTTTGGAAAACAATCTTGCAGTTCCTTAAAAGGTTAAATATACAGTTACCTTGTAACTCAGCAATCCTACTCCTGGGTATATATACCCATGAGAAATGCAAACGTAGGTATATACAAAAACTTGTACAGGAATGTTCGTAGCAGAATTATTCATGATAGCCCAAAAGTGGAAAGAACTCAAATGCCCATCAACTGATAGATGGATCTGTCAATGGATGAATGGAATATTACTCAGCAATAAAAAATGTGCTGATACAGCCTACAACATGGATGAACCTTAAAAACAGGCTAAGTGAAAACAGTCACAAAAGATCACATATTATATGATTCCATTTATAAAAAATTTTCAGAATAGGCTTATCCATGGGGACGGAAAGCAGATTAGTGGTTGCCAGGGGCTGTTTAAAAATGAGATCTATTCATTCTGCTTTATTATGGTTGGAATACTCACTGCTGTTCACCTTTCCTGCATATTGACTTCCCTGCCTCTTTCCTGTTCAAAATTTTTTAAGACAGCTCATATAATATATACCCTTATGAAGACAGGGATAAAAACCAAAGAGGATTTTGTCCTTTAGTGGTTAGTTATGGTGTCACCTCATTTTTGCCATAACAATGAGATGTTTTTCTCAGGCAGGTCTGGTTAAGTTTTTTGCTTTTTAGTAGAACTACTGATTAGCCTTTTAAAAATTCTATTAAAGGGCCGGCCGAGTGGCTCATTGGTTAAGAGTTGGCTTGGGACACCAGCTCTGAGCAGCAGGGCCCCAGTTTGGATCCCACATGTGGGCCAGTGACGCTGTGCCCTCTACAGCTAAGATTGTGAACAACAGCTCGACCTGTAGCTGGGCTGCCGTGAGTCGCCAGCGACAGTGTAGGCTGTAGTGGAGCTACAATGGGCTGCCATAAGCTACCATGAGTGGCCAGCAGCCGGCGTGAGCTGCCAAGAGCCGCCGTGAGCAGCCATTCAGTGACCAGCAACCCATCTGCCTCACCCAGGAAGAGCACAATGAATGATAATACCAACATGGGCCAGTGAAGTGACGTCCTCCACAACTAGACTGAAGAACAAAAGGACAGAAACTTGTCTGTTCCCCTTCCCCGATTCCCCAACGCTGTTCCCCTCCCCAAAATCCTCAATAAAATCTTTCTTTTTTTAAAAAGTTCTATTAAAAAGTAACAGATACATTTCACCAAACTTTATTTGCAGTGAACGAATATGAAAAGAGAACACAGTTCAGAACTTACAAAGCAGGGCTATTATCAAGAGATCGGAACATAAAACTAGGTTTCAGATGAAAAGGTCTGTTTGGGATTTGTTTGACTTATTTTATGACTATGACAAAGTAATTTCATTTGTAGCTCATGTTTCAACTTCCACAGCAGTGTATTTGTGGGAGATGCAGTTATTTCACAGGCAGTGTGCTTTGAAATGTAATTTAAGCAAGGACTTTTCATTAACTGACAAGTGGACATGCTTAACAAGGCCTTTCTTGAGGTTGTACAATGACGGGTGTATTTCTCCATCACTGTTTGACTTGGGTCAGAATCAGCATTGTTCTTACAAGTTACAGATAATGTAGAGCTTTTTATTTTGTTTTGTTTTTTAGCTATCTTTGTTTACTTTGAAAATGATTGTAATCCATTGAAACATTTTGTAACAGTTGCTTTTTTTTAACCTTTGTAGTTGTCCTACTTTAAAAGGTAAAATAGACAATACATAGACTTCTAGAATTTTAGAATTACAAAAGGCCTTAGTCATCCAGCCTGACTCCGTACCTTTTTACATGATGAAATATCTATAATGAGCTTTTAGTTGCTTGAGTTTACATTTTCATGTTACTCAACCACGTCCTCACAAGCAGTGTGCTCTGCTCTTAGACTCTGAGAACATGACAGCCACCCTGGTACACGTTTGCTTCTTTGTACATATTAATTGCACAGTGGACCAGGCACTATGTTATACACAGAAGGATACAGGAGTGAATAAGATCACGGACTAGAGGGAATTCAGACATGTCAGCAAATAAACATGATCCTCTGGGTTAAGTCCTATGAACACTACACGAATAAGAGAATAATATTGTCTTTTGGGAATGGTGGGGAAAGACTATCAAGGCAGCCTTCATAAAGGAGACATCCTTTGAGTGCTGCCATGAAGGATGAGCTGGAATATGACAGGCAGAAATTTTGGGGGACGGGGAGGTGATGAAGTGGGAAGGACAGATGCTGCGACAGAGCACACTTGGAATTGCAGGGTAGTTCCAACTCGGCTGGAGTTGGGAGAACACAGTTTGGAGGAGGAGGAATGAGACGAGTGAACATAACTAGACCCATTGTGGGGTGTCTTACATACACGGCAAAGGAAAGTTTAGTCTTTTGCCCCTAGGTGATAGGGAGCTACTAAAGTGATTATTTGTGCACTTTAGAACTGTTGCTCTGGTGGCAGTGTAGAGAATGGAGGCAGTGGGCTAAATCGAGAGCTAGGAAACCACTTAGGTTACTGTAACAGTGTAGGCAAGAAAAACGGAGGCAACACTGAGGGAGAGGAAAGGATCTATTAAGCTTTAAAGAAATATTAAGAAGGACAAATGGACAGGACTTGATGACTCAGCTGTGATGCTAGAAGGTGGAGGAGTCCTGGTTTCTGGCTGTGATGAGTCGGTATCTATAGTATCTAGCATGCCAAGTACTTGGTGGCTTGTTTAAAGAGTAACGGTCATCAAATGCTCGCTTCATTCTTTGTGAATCTTTTCCTGAATTACACATCGCTGTCTGATTAAGCTCTTGACTCTCCTTCAAGACATCAGCACGCTTCAATAGTTGTCCTTATAAATACTTATTTGTATATTTGGATGACTCCCATTATTCACTTCTTGAAGGCTTGGGCTATTATCTTTAATTCCCTCTTCCAACACCCACTTTCATGCCCCATCTTAGACCTACAGAATCTGAATTTCCAAGTTACCTGAGAATCTGGAATTGAAGAGCTGTCTGGTAGTTCTGATGATCAGTATGTTTTCAAACTCAGCTGTAGAACAGTGAACCAGCTGACAGTGGAGCTGTTTCTTCCTACTAACCTTGTTATCAAATGGTGGAGTCAAGATAGGGCAGACTCCTTCCTCTTGGAAGTGATCTCAGAATAACAAGGGGGATAAGAAATACAAATTCTGCCTTTAGTGGTTTTAGGAGAGCGCTACGACCCCAAATCACAATATATGAGTAGAGGTACCATTCCCACCAGCAATGTATAAAATGGCCCAGTTTCTCCACAGCTTTACCAACACTGGCTCTTTCCTGATTTTTGATTATAGATAGTCATTGTATGGGTGTGAAGTGCTATCTCAGTGTGATTTTAATTTGCATTTTCCTGATGACTAATTATATTGAGCATCTTTTCATATACTCACTGGCTATTGGTATATCTTCTTTAGTGAAATGTCTATTCATATTCATATGTTTTACTCATTTTTCACTAAGTTGTATTACAAGAGTTATTTATGTGTTAGGTTGCTCTACTAAACAAATGTTTCAGCATCTATAGTGTGCTTTAGCTTCTTTATAGCTAAGGCTAAAACCACCTCTTCACTATGAAAGGACGTCACATCATTTGCAGATGGAGCATGCAGAGAGTCCAAGCTTCAGTTCTTTCAATAGTTTAGGTCTGTGTTTCATGTTTAATACATGTCTTTTGGCTTTCTAATTTTAAAAAGATGTATTTTACAAATCTTAAACTTTCTAGCTACAGATAATATAGAGAAACCCATTATAATATTTAGAAAAGCATTGATTTGCTAAAATATTTTTCAAAACAACAGTTGTGTGTGTGTGTGTGTGTGTGTGTGTGTGTGTGTGTGTGTACACAGCCCTAGTTAGGAGTGCATGTCTGCGTGAGTGTTAGTTTGTGTGTGTGTCTGATACATGGTCTGCGAAGTCAGGCTGTGTTTAGGACCACTTCCTGAGGAATGTTAGCTATGTGTAGTTTAAAAGGTGAGTGAATGGAGTTGGGTATCTTATGCCTCATCCTGCTCAGTTGAGCAACACTTATCCAACAGTTAGTCGCAATTATTGAGCAACCTGTCTTAGAAAAGAGGAATAATAACGATGATAGAGGTCGATATCATCTATCTTATTGTCCCTTTAAAGATAGAGTTTGGGGGCTAAGGTTAAGCAACAAAAGGAAAAATATTCTAGGCTAATTAAACTGGACTGTTATGCACTGTGAATTAATAATCAATTGTTCTTTAAAGATTATTTTCATATGTATGTAGTTGCTTTTATAGTGTACTCTGAATATTTTTTGCATAATAATATTTCTGATGAAAGGTTTAGGATTTCTTTATATTCAGTGTAAATTCTTCTGTAGTAAGATATGAAAACATGGAGGGACAAGTCCACACTGCAAGATTAGGTTTACTCCTAGAAGACGAGAACTTCAATGTTATATGTAACAATGTTTCACAAAAAAATTTCAGCCAAATATTGCAGATTGTTTGGATTTGTCAAATCTTGAGATTGGAGGGGAGATATATGTGTGTTTATGGTTAGCAGTGATGTTTGTGAGGGTATGATTACCACCAAATATTGAAGAGAAATTCAGGGTATAATAGAAGAATTTCTAGGTTAAACATTGGGAAATATGGTTTTCTTCTCAACTCTGCTAATAACCAACTCTGAATCTTGACAAATCCTTGTTTTAAGTGGGTGTCCTTTGAGATTCTGCTCTTGCTCCAATTCTCACTTTATATATTCCTTGCATTTGATCTCTCATTTGCTTCTATGACTTCAATTACCATTATGAACCAGTGGTTTTAAATATAGTAAAAAAAAAATGAATCTAAAGATAAAGGTCTCCTTTATATTTACTATTACTGGCTGACTTCTTATAAGAATATAAATGATTGTAATAAAAAAATATAAATTTTAACATATTATAAAACCTTGAGGAATCAATCCTCTCCCTCTTTACTCACTTGAATGTCACCAATGCTTTAAGTAAAGGGTTTTCATGAATGTAAAGAACATCAACAGACATAATTTAAAAAAATCATTAAAATATAATTTTCTGGAGAACTTTATCATTAAACTGAATCTATTTTTATACCTTTATTCTAACACTAAAATTCTGGAAGCACGTAAAAACATTTTTTTCCAAATAAGGAACTAAGACAGTCCTTTTGACCCATCACAGTGACACTCAAGTAAATGGCATGCTAGGGTGATCCGTGATTTCAATTTAGAAAAGAAGACTACTTCACTACCACGTATTTTTTTAAATAATGAGAAGTCACTACCATTATTTTTTTCTGTCATTTCATTAGCAACTGACTACTGGACTGTCATGGTCACTTTTTATCCTTATTGTGACATTGCCTTGTTCAACTGCACGCTGGGTCCTGGCATTGCCAATGCCGGCATGAAAGCAAAGGGGCCTCTCGTTCTAAAACAAGATCTGACATTTCTTCAACAGAAGAAGCTTCAACACGTTTTCCTGTTAATAACAACACTCATAATTTTCACTTTTGGTGTTAATATCTAAAATGGTGTAATTGCTTGTTCCTTGTTTACTCTCTTTTGCTCTTCACTGTGGAATAGTGTGCAGATCTCTCACCAGAATAGAAATGGAGAGAAACTTCTCCTTTTTTTCCTAATGCCCTAGAGTCAAAGCCAGCTTTATCCGTTTTTAAATGAAAACAACTATGACAACATCTAAATCCCTAAATATTGAAACTCATTCCTAATCACCTTTTTTTTCCCAGAAGTGTACATTTTTTCTCCCTGCTACAGTATTTAATTTACACATAAAGCAATGCATATTTAAAGAAGTTCATTTCAACTCTTTACAATAAAATTGTCTTGACTATAAGAGCATATTTCTAAAAGGAATTTTAAGTAACTTGAAAGGAGCTTGTGGCTGCAACATTGGCAATGTGTTTAGTATAGACTGTGAAAAAGAGCCCTTTTCAGACTGCACTTGTCTTACTTGGAGTGGCTTCACTTAGGGTGAAGTTCTCTTACACATTCCTATTGGATACTCACTTATCTCACTTTACTTGTGTGCGCCCCAAACACTCATGTTCAGGTGATATCTGGAGGGGTCATTTCCCTTGCAGAATGTGACTTGGCAGTTTTGAACCACTGGCAGCTGTGCTCCCCCAAGCCCTGGGGCTTCTCAGGGAAGTCCATCAGCCCGTGCTGATGATGGGAGAGGATTTCCGATTGTTCTCAGCTTCTCCTATATGGTGGTTTAATGACCGCATCTAATTCTCCACGTTTGTCATTTGAGATGATATATAGCATAAAATGTGTTCTAGCCAGGAACTTGTAAGTATCAGAGCTTGAATTTACATCTGACTCCCTCAAAGCTGGTCTTCATTATCCTTTTATGAGTTCATGCTTTCTAAATGCACTCTAATCCACAGGATGAAGAAGCTGGAATAAAAAGCAAAGTCCATTATATTGCCAAGGAGATCATGAGCTCAGAGAAAGTGTAGGTATCTAGTTTATAATTCGGAAGCCTGTTTGTTTCCTTATTGACTCATTTAAAACATTTCTTTCATTGCTGTGTTTTACAGGTTTGTGGATGTGTTAAAACTTTTGCATATTGTAAGTATCTGCTAATATTTTATTGAAGTCTAAGACTGTCCTTTTTACATCTTTCCCTATCCTTCAAAATTTTCAGCATAATACTTAAATTAACATGTATATACATGTATGTGCTTTCTAATACATGGTTATGTTTTTAAATTCACACATATATGTGAATATAGAAGTTTTCTAAAATGTATGTATCTCATATATGTGTAGCATACCCAGATGATTTCTGAAAAATAGAGAGCCTTTATATCTGTATCTCCAAATCTTCTAACTTTCTAACTTCATAATAAAGTTCTTTTAAAGTGATAATATTTCTTCTTGGACATTTGCAGAAGTCTGCTATCATCCGAATTGTGCACTAATATAAAGAATGCCATGATCAGTGTTAAATTCTGCTTTTCTATCTGAATAAGCTCCCAGAAAGACACTTAAAATAGACGTTTTTACAACTAACTTTTTATAATTCTATTTTCAATTTTTATAATTTTCAACTAGAACGAACCTGTTGGGAAACAATTATGATATGTGCCTGGCTGCGTATTCATTTTTCTCTTACACTTCTTTGTACCTGCATGTTTTTACAAGTTTCATTAATGCACCAGCAGTTAAAAAGTGTTTTTAGTATTACTTGTCCAGTTGTATTTTGGTGCAAGATATTAAGACTTAGCAAAGGAAGGGGTGAGGTAGAGGAAACAATGAAAAAAAGAAATTGAAGTGAAAATGTACTTAGATGGTGTAATTATTAACATTATCCTACACTTAATTGCTGAGAAATGGTAGTTCACAAAATATACACCCATTTATGTCTCTGCAAAGAGTATCATTATTTCCAGTTTTCTTTTTAATAAATGCAGATGAACATTAAAACCGGGTTTCACTTAAGGGTGATTCATATTCACCAAATGATTCCCTTGTGCTCTATACTTGGTACAACAGAAACACAGAGGCCTAATTCCTGTGTGAAAAATCCTGGCGTTGAAACATTTTCTAAAGTAATTCTTAACAATACTAATTTGTGAATTTATTACCGTGTGAATAGTTTCTGACATAACTCTTGACTATATTGGCAAGTTCTCTTTTGTAATTCATTTTTTAAAACTATAACACAATATTTGGTCACCCAGATTTGTGAGTTTCAATCATATTGTTATTTCAAATAGAAGACAATAAGCCTGATAAATGATTTTCAAAGTAAATTCTGTGTACATTTGCTGCTATGCCCTGAACCTCTCTATTGTATAAGCAATTGTAGGGATAAAAGAAAAAGCTAAACTACTGGAAAACTCAGAACATATCTCTAGGATGAGCAAATTTTGTGTATTTGACATTATTTTCTGATAGATATGCTTCAATGGAAATACGACCTCTCCAAGGCAATTTTAATCAACTACAAGTTAATTGGTAAGCTCTATTGTCACCAGAAGCAAAAAGTGCTATGGAGTCAGGAAGACTTGACTTTGAATTTCTGTGCACTGTTTCAGCAAAGCTTGCAGGGCAGGCGCTGTGGATTCTGCGTGAGCAGCACAGAGTCCCTGCCCTCAGTGCTCAGTCTCGTGTACTGCTTCTCACACCATTGTGGTGAGGGACTGCATCTTAAAGTTTCCAATCTGTGTTGGACCAGAACCAATGTAAAATACAAGAAAAATGTCATGGTTGTGTCAAAAATACATAAAAGGTTTTGATCTTTTATCCTCTTTCTGACTAATATCTTCACAGACCAATAATAATTTGTGGACCATACTTCGAGAGGCATTGGCTTAGTAGATTCTGTTTCTTACCAGCTGTGTGAATTGTAGAAAGCAGTTTAACCTTTTGGGTCTAGCTTTTCCTCATTTGTACAACGGGGATAAAAATACCCATCGCTCAGGTTGTGAGGATTCGATGGAATAAGTACGTGAAGGAGCCTAGTGTTGCACACGATAGACAGTGGATTCTCAGGTTGCCTTTGCATTACCACCATCTCCATCTTGTAGCTCATCAGTGAATGGGAAGCATTCATTCTCTTTATTACCAGGCAGTTAACTTTTCACTTTTTCTAATGCGTTTTTTTTTTCCCCTGTACTAAACTTTCATTTTAATGAAGGAAATTCTGATTCTAATAGGTAGGGAAGCAATTAAAAGCTTTACCAGTTTCTTTATTTGGTTATTTAAAAATAGATGTCCTGTTCTTAACTCTTTATTTTTGGAACAAATCATAAGCACCATAAGAATGAACAGTCAGATCAAAGTATATCATCTCAGGTCCGATCTGATAGATGGCCCTGGCCTCTTCCCAGCTGCTGCTGAACAGAATGAATCATCTATAACCCACCTTGACTGGTACATTCTCAAAACCTCCTAAGCCTTTAATGTAGGAGTGAGAGTAGATCATCTGCCAACCGTACATTAACATCCTGTCTGGTATGTGCAAATGTAAACTCAGCAGAGCCCAACTCTAATGGGTATCTTAACAACAGTGCTAAACCCGTGTGAACCATTACTAGGAGGGGCTCGGTACCAGGGTAATGTGGGTGAAGCTGAAAGAGTCTCCTGCCTCATCCCAACACCCCCCCCCATACTACTGAAGCTCATATTTACTCCTCTACCAAAAGTACCCCAAAAAAGGAAGCACATGGATCATTTTAATCATGAGCCATGCTGCTCTTGATTTCATCTAAATAAATTAAATGCTGTGTTATATAATAGAATATGACTGCTTTAAAATATGTAAACAGCACCTTTTCGGTAATCCAGTGGGTATTTTTTGGAGATCAACGAGCTGTCCTAATAGCTTGGGAGAAGCTATTGTTTTAGTTATACATAATTTCCAATGAATAGCTATCCATATTAGAGACTCTAGAATAGCATTACTAGATCTTTCTGGGGTGACAGAAATGTTCCATATTTGCACTGTTCAATATGGTAGCCATATTTTAAAATGTTAATACGTCATTGTAGCTTACTAACATTTCTTTGTTTAGAATTTGGTAAATAACTAGGTGAAATAGCTCATAGACAAAATTTTTACATCTAAACTAATGAATCTCATCATTTAAGTGACTACATTGGGAGGAAATAGACTTGGGTGGAAGGTGCACAGTTAAGAGCCAGTGTACTCCGTTGAGGACTTTGATTCACTTGCCTGATGTTTGTGAGAAAAAAGTGGTCCTACAAAGGCAGTGGCAAGACTTGACAATAATGTTTTCTGTGGTACATACTCTGGAGTCTCTACCATGGGTTCCTGGACTTCTTAAAAATGTCCAAGGTGCACATTGTAAATTAATACTCTAATGAGTCCAAAGAGAAAGGAGATTCCTGAAGGTCAGTCTTTCCCTTTCCAAAATAGTAGTGCCATCTATATAGCTGCAAAAGCCAGAAAAGTAGAATTTGTTCTTCCTTCCTCCCTCTCACGCAATCCTCTAGCCAACCCATCAGCGAACCTGCTCCTTACACTTCCTCTTTACTGCCACCAACCTGTCATCTCTTACTCAGCCAACCTCACCCGCCTCCTAACTGGGCTTCCTATTTCCATTCTTGTCCCCCTTCCGATCTGTTCCTTAGGCGATTTTTTTTCCTTATAAATATTTGAGAGTGATGTTCTTAAAATATATATTAGAACATGTCACTCCCCTGCATAAAACCCTTTAAATGATTCCCATTGCATTAAGAATTAAGTCCCAGCTACTTACCAAGGCCTGGAAGTAGGATGACCATATGTCCTTGCCTGCTTCGGACAGTTCTGGTTATGTCTTGGCATAATATTATTAATAGAGCTCCTTTCGCTGTCAAAAATGCAATAAATTATGGTCCCAGCCTGTAAGGTACCCTGTGACCCTGTGATTTGGCCTCTGGTAGTGAGATGAGACCTTGTAGGTGGGTGGCATTCGCTCACTCACTGACCATGTTCTGGCCATACTCACCTCCTTTCAGTTCTTAGTTTACTGCTCAGGTTATTCCTGCTCAGAGCTTTTGCTACTGCAGTTTCCTGGAATGTTCGTTTTTCCTTCCTTTTGATCATAGCTAGTTCTTTCTTTATCCTTCCAACCTGAATTGAATGTGACCTCCTCCGAGAGCTCTTCCTTGAGCTCTGAGAGACCATCCTTTTCTCTTTAACCCCCCTCGTTTGTTGTCTTCTTAGCACTTAATATATATAATTTGTATATTTGTTTGTTTACTCATTTATTTTTGGTCTCCTCTACTGAAATGTAAGCTAGATAACGATAGGGATCATACAGTTTCGGCACCGACCATTGTCCTGTTCACTGGTAGGCCCTCAGTAAATGTTTGTTGAATGAATGAAGGTGACTAATTCATTAGTGGTTAAGAATTCTGCCTCTGCCACTATGTGCTCTTAGACAAATTAGTCAAGCGTTGGTTTTTTTCTCCTGGAAAATGAGAATAATAATAATAATAATAATTAAATAAGGTTGGTGTGATGATTAAATGAGATCCTGAAAAATAAATAGTAAGCATTTAATTAGTTTTTTTTTTATTGTTAGTTTCAGGTGTACAGAACAATGCAATAGTTATCCTTTTCACCCTCACAGAGTAACAACGCCCCTCCCCCCATGTATTGCCCTCCCACCCCCGATATCATGCTTATCTATTACAATTCCATTGATTCCAATCCCCCTCTCTATTCCATGTCCCGAGACTAAATGTATATATNTATCATGCTTATCTATTACAATTCCATTGATTCCAATCCCCCTCTCTATTCCATGTCCCGAGACTAAATGTATATATAATTATAGTTGACATACAATCTTATTCAACATCAGTTTCAGAAATACAGTGCGGTGGTCAGGCCTCTACACCGACTATGAAGTAGTCTCCCCCACAGGACACGAGTCCATCTGGCCCCCTAAGAAATATTTACACCATTACTGATTATATTCCTCAGACTGTCTTTTCCCATTCCTGAGGCCATATTGTAGTTACCAATTTGTATTGTCTCATCCCTTCCCCTTCTCCTTCATCCCCACCCCTCCCAACTAGCAACCCTCAGTTCTTCCTCTGTAGCACTTAAT